CAGACGGACTTTTCTTATTTATGATCTTAACCTTTGACCTTTTGACATCAAAATCAATAGGTTTCTTTCTTAGTCCATAGGAAGTCGCTATGCTAAATTTCATTGCAAAAGCTCAAAAGGTTCTCGAGATATCGTGTGGAAACGAAAGCATTACAGACAGACAGAAAGACGGACGGACGAACAAACCCAAATTAATATTTCCCACTTTTCAAGCGGGGGTCAATATATTTATACGAGAGTAAAGGGAGCTGTCCTGTAGTATTTAAGTGGTATTTATGATTGTCGGACTGAAAGACCATCATTCCGAGATTGCAGTGCTGTAAAAAATGAATTTTGTAACGTAACTTTGATGTATTTCCGTAAAAATGTCGTCTTAACGTGGACAGAAGTTTGATGATTTGCAGGATTTGAGACATCGAGAGTTAAATATTATTTTTACTTATGAAATCTGAACAGTTTGTGCACATTTTGATGACTGGTTAGAGCGATATAAGAAATGCATTGAGTAAAACGGTGAGTATGCTGAAAAAAGTTACATGTACAGAAGTATTAAAGCTATTAAGCTTTTATTACTCTTGGTATGAGTGTGTGTCTTTTTGTATTTGATAAAAATATAACTATTTGTACTTTTTTGTTTAAATCATTCATATTAATAATAAATATATTTAAGTTCAGCTTTCATTCCTTGAATAAAAAACTCAACTGACAACATTGAGCTTGTTTTTTGCCAAATAACACAAGACATGTTTGTTATATGTCATTTATTATGAAATGACAACATATAATATAATACATAAAACTGAATAAAAAAGACTGGGAGACAATGTAACCTTAAAACACAATTCCTGAGAAAAAATTATAATACAATTATGCAATAACAATTGGTCTCCCAGTATAAGACTATTACATAACAAATATAATTTGGCAAAATAGGTGGCCTCAAAAATATGGCCTGAAACATATGAATTGGCTCAAGATTCCATTATTTGGCCTCAATAGGATATGACTAACAATATAATATATATATCAAAAGAAATTAAATACAATGAAAAACATACACATATGAGTTTAAGGTGGCCTAATGTACAGTTAAAGTCTGTTTGGGGATGGAGGTGGGTAATCCAAAAAATATTTCAGCAAATGTTTGGCCGTCTTGTCTTTACAATAGCAGTAGATATAATGATGCTAGTTCTCTTATCTCAAAAGGATAAAATTACCGGGGGGTCCCCATGGGTTTACAGATAATGAGGCACAATACGGGGAATTACAATTTAACATAAAATACATGAAACTTAACTTAAAACAATTTTACTAGCATAAAATATCCTTTAAGTTTAGCTTTCATTCCTTGAATTAAAAACTCAACTGACAACATTGAGCTTGTTTTTTGCCAAATAACACAAGACATGTTTGTTCCAAAACAATGTCATTTATTATGAAATGACAACATATAATATAAAACATAAAAGTGAATAAAAAAGACTGGGATACAATGTAACCTTAAAACACAATTCCTGAGAAAATTTATAAAACATAACAATTGGTCTCCCAGTCTATGATTATTACATAACATATATAATTTGGCAAAATAGGTGGCCTCAAAAATATGGCCAAAAAAGGGAAGGCTATAAGCCTTTCCTTGCGCCACCCGAAATGTAGTTAGAAATGCATATCATTGCTTTATTTAAAACAAACTAATTTAGATTCAGAATAAAACATATTGACAATAGCATGATGACGGCAATGTATATACGACTCATTTGAGTAAACGTAGGTGCAGCCCAACTGGGGAATATTTAAAGAGGAGCTATTAAAAGTAAAAACAATATCAACAATCCCAAGTAAATAAACATTAAAAAAAAAAAATAAATAAATAAATGTACATCTTTGTAATCGCATGATTATCCAAAACATAACTCTGTCTAAAACAATGCATTCTTCCCAAAACAAAACTTGACTTAGATATTCAGCTGAAAAAATAAAATTCTATACACTCAAAGGTTGAATATAAGTCAAAGGGGCATAATACTAAAGGTTGTGGAACCCAAAACAAAGAGCTCACATAGTAAATTTGGTGCAACAGAAAAGCTGGCCACCAAGAATTTTAATGTCCAAACATAACTCCCCCCAAATTATGGGCAGTGGGGCAATTTATGCTTCCAAGAAAATAATAATAAATGATATTTGTTAACCATTGATTACTTTACTAATGCAACCAAAAAAGCTGACCTAGTCAATTACCTGATAAACCTGGTGTATACCAAATTTCATGTAAATACACAAAGCAATACTGGTGCAACAAATGCTGGCCAACAAGTTAATGTCCAATAAACACAAAGAATATGGGCAGTGCAACAATTTTGCTGACCACTGACCTCAGTTGTGCAACTCAAAGAATGACCAATAAAAAGAAGGGTATGGGCAGTGCAACAATTTTGCTGACCACTGACCTCAGTTGTGCAACTCAAAGAATGACCAATAAAACGAAGGATATGGGCAGTGCAACAATTTTGCTGACCACTGACCTTGCTGTGCAACTTGAGGGGTAGGGAAATTTACTGTAGGGAAAATGATTGAATACGGATGTAACGTTTAAAGGCATCGGACTCCCACCTACCTAACTTTTTAATTGTGTGCTCAGGAACCCCCCTTTGTGCCGCTTCTGTGGCAGCCCCAATACGGAAACTGTGACCCTTATAGAGTTTAGGATTTAAACCAATGAAGGATGTGGCAGTGTTTAAGTGAGAAGTGACGAACTGATAGTTTACTGGCATGGATGATTTAAACTGAAAAAGGGGACCCTGCTGGTTTGGAAACTCTGTTAAATACGCCTTGAGGTTTGCTACTGGACAGAAAGAAGGCTCAGGTAATGCTGTTAGTTGGATGGTTATAGGTGAGCTAGTTTGTTTAGTTTTAAAATTTTTGAGCCTAAAGACAACTGATCGGGACTCATCGAAATGAACATCAGAACGCTGAACCACAGTATTGTAAGAAACCTTAGATTTTGCTATCAACTCCTCTAAACGCAAGAAGGCATGGAAGGCCAGTAAGAATAATGCTTTCAATAGTTGTCTTAGATCATATTGTGGGACTGTCTTATCCAAAGCATTTATAATTTTGAATAGGATTGACTGGGTAATAGGCAGGCGTGAATCTGCAGATGTACCAGATGCATGGACACCTTTGAGCAATTTTTTAATAAGGAATGACTGACAGGGGTCACTACTTCCAATGAGTTTGTGTACAAAACTAATAGCTGAGCAGTGAGATGCTATTGTTGATGGACTGTATTTTTGGTTGAATAAGTGACTAATGAAATTGGCAATAAGTACATGGGACACTGGAAAATGGAATTTGACCTGATTTTCTAAGCAAAACTTCACTAAGTACTTCCAACTTCTGCGGTAAGCTAATTTTGTAGGTGTTGATAGGGATGTTTGCAATAGGTGCATTGTATTACTTGTTAAATGGTCATCAATTCTGGGGGCACTGGTGTTGGTGTTCTCTCTAACCAGGGGGCCCTTTGGAAGACTTTCTGAAATTGAAAGCGAGACAAACCATCAGCAATGATGTTTTGCTTCCCCGGAAGATGTTCTGATTCAAATCTTATATTGAACTGTAAACAAGTAAGAACTAAGCGTCGCACCAAGCGCATAATTGTTTGGTCTTTAGAGGACTGATGATTAATGATATAAGACACTGCCTCATTATCTGTTAGGAACAGCACATTTTTGTTTTTTAAAGTACTACCCCAAATTTCAAGAGCTAACACTATAGGGAAAAGTTCCTTTTCAGTAATATGATAGTCCATGCATTTAGCTGGCCATCTACCAGCAAACCAGTTTGCTCCAAATACCCCAGCAAAACCAATCACCCCTGATGCATCTGTATACATGCGCAAACTATCAGAGGAAATATGTTGGCTATTACTTATGATGCATTTTCCATTAAAATTGTTGATAAAGATAGACCATGCATGCAAGTCTGCGCGTGCTTCTTTATTGAGTCTTATTTTGTAATAAGATGGCTTCTGAGGCCCACATAAGAGATCAAATAAACGGCGCAGGAAAGCTCGACCTGGGCATATGACAGAAGAAGCAAAACTCAAGGAACCTAACACGGACTGCAATTCTTTTACAGTCACCTTTTTCCTATGAGAAAAATTTTCTAACATAGTTCTTAACTTGTCAAGTTTGTCAGATGGTAATCTACATTCCATTGCTTCTGAATCTATTTCGAGGCCATAAATGGTGATAACCTTACAAGGTAGGACAGTTTTGTCTTTTTTGATGGGCACACCTAAAGTGGAACAGAGAATTAGAAAATTCTCAAGATCATGTAGACACTTACTGGAATTATCAGGCCCAATAATAAAGAAGTCATCTATCATGTGAGACATACCCTGTACCTTATATTTTGACATCATAATCCACTGAAGGGCAGTACTGAATGATTCAAAAATTTTGCAAGAACTGCTTGCCCCCATGGGAAGACACTTATCAAAATAGTACTGACCAGCCCATGTTAACCCTAAAGCGTGATAACTATCTGGGTGTAAAGGAATAATGCGGAAAGCATCTTCGATATCAGATTTGGCCATCAGTGACCCTTTTCCAAATTTCAAAACAAGAGAAATGATTGTATCAATTGTATCGTATTTGATCTTTGAATGCTCTTCTGAGATGTAGGAATTTACAGAATCAGCTGATGGGAATGAGAGGTCATGTATAAGTCTGTATTTGCCAGGTGTACTCTTGGGTACTACACCCAAAGGGGAACACACAAAGGTTTGAAAAGGTGGGGAAGGGTATGGACCAGCTATTCTTCCCAAGTCTACTTCATTTTGAATTTTATCTAGAACATAGTCAGCATGTTGAGTGGTGGATGAATGATTACGACAGAGACGTGGCTTCGGATATGCTGAACATCCTAAACTAAAACCAAACTTAAAACCTTGAACTAAGTAATGAGAAAGAAAGGGGTTATAACCTTGTAGGTAATGCTCAAGATGATGTGCTTGTACTGGGGTTGGTAGTTTTAGATTTTCCTGATTGGCGTTGAGATCGAAAATTGGTTGCATTTTGAGTGTCTGATTTTTGCTTTGTACACTGAATTCGGGGATGTGTTTCTTTGCACACTGAGCATATGTGTCTGTATGGGCAATTTGTTGATGTACACTGTTGTCCATTGTTGTAAGTGTAGCAAAACCTGATTGGTCCACGAAAGGGCTGATTGTTTGATGTTCTGTTGCGTGGAAATGTTTAATTGTGTGATTTTGACATTGTTGTTACTCTTATGATTAACTCATTAAGGGGTTGTTGCCAAGGCAGGTCTGACACCTCACGCAACTCCCTAAACTGCTCATCATATAACCTCCAGGCTGAATCACCATTGGAGGCATGGAGAAGACGGACTGTTGACATGTACTTAAGCAAATTTGAGGCTGACTGTGAATTTGACTCAAGATAAATTGACATGAAAGTTATGAAGGCATTTGTCCATTGATAAATGGACAATGGGGGTTTCCCTGACTGTTTGGACTTTAATTTGATTGATCCTTGATCAATCTGTACAGAAACGGTTTCCTGTTTGTGTTCAGGCAATAACACCCTTAAGTCAATATACTGGTTAGCCCAAATTTTTTGCTTTACACGCAAGGGAATAGTTGTCCCTAATGGTATACCCCCTGATAACTGCAGTGGTGTAACATTTAGATCATTTACTGAACTACTTACAAAAGACTCACCCCCAAAAATTTTATCCAAAGTTAGGAGGAAACTAGTTTGTTGGGCTGCACCTGAAACATTGTTTGTTTTCACTGTTGTGTTGGCCATGTCAGGCAAATTATTCCCTGAACATGCTGAAGGCACTTGTAGTGGTGTGTCCGCATCCTTACTGGGCCCAGGGGATACCGGAAGTCCTCCATTGTCTGATTCGGTCACTTGGCCTTGTTTCTTTAGGATAGCCTCTGCCAGTCTGTCATAGTCAATTTGTGGCAGCGATTCGACATCAGGTGACCTTTGTTAACGCTGTCTTTTAGGATTCTCCCCACTCGTACCAGAAACTTGCATTTTCTTGGGTGGCATAGCTGAAATTGATGCATAAAATAAAAAGTTTTTGTTCTAAATAAAATTGAACTTACAGTTCCAGTGTAAAGTACTATATGTACAAATTTGCCTGTTAATTGCAAATGAAGACCAAACTATAGCCTTATGTTGTCATATATGATTGAAAGTGGGTGTCTCTAGTCCTCAATTCCAAATTGAAATACATGCTTAACAAGAAGATACCAAGCACAAGTGAGTGATGCCAATAGAAACCTGACACGTGGTCAGAGATCAACACAAAACAATCCTGCTAGCAGAAAAAAGGATGACAAATAGTCATCCCAACATGTACAAATGGCACATGGTAACAAACAATGATACAAATGGTACAAGAACATGTATAATGCACTTTGACAAATGGTCGAAATTATACAAGTTCAAACCTGCTAGCAGCAATGAATGACAAATGGCCATTCAAACCAAGTACAAATGGTACTTGGTACAAAAATAAATTGTGGCATCACTCAATGAATGACAAATGGTCATACAAACAAGTGCAAATGGTACCTGATAAACATGATACATGTAAATAGGAATAAATAATTAAAATGTATGGCAGCACTGTATGAATGACAAATGGTCATACAAACAAACCCAGTGTTACCTATAATTATACATATATAATAGGATGTTCATTCTTATACAACTAATCCAATTGGATTTTTAAGAGCACTGAAACCAACTATTAAGTGCCTGTCTCAGAGAAAACCATGCAAAATGGTCCAGAGGCAAGTTTCTCTGATCGCCTTCAAACTTTGTGAGCCAAATCTAGCATGCATGAAACTCAAACAAATTTTTATCGGGCTGATCAAACTCGTATAAGTTTTATGGCCTGTTACTAAAAATAGCTCATATGCAACAAAATTAAAGGTAATTTTTTAAACATTTTAGTCATATTTTGAGGAGAAATAAAATTGCAATTTTACAAGCTAATTAGATATTCTTTTTTGTAGTAAAAGGATGAAGGTTAGTTTTTCACAAATGCATAGTCAAAATGATTTACATCCATTTTGTTTTAGTGCAAAAAGTGACAATTTTAGGTAGAATTGATATTGCTGTAACAACCAGCGAGGGTATTTGAATCCAATAAATGTTGTTGCTTGTTGTTAAGAATGCTTATGTTAACAAAATGTGAAAAAACTGTCGTTGGCAAATATATATTTTAGAAAATATTGAAAGTCAAAGTTTGTTAAATTTTCAAATCAAAAATTTTAAGAATACAGTAAACGTTAATTATAAAGTACCTAAAAACTTCTCCAAAAATAATAAAAAAAAAATTTCTGGATTTTTTTTATCAGTATTTCAGAATTTAGACATACATAGCCCATAATTCAATAAATAATGACTGAATCCAAAAAAAAAAACATCATAAAAAGGGAGGGGGGATTTATGAATTCCTTATAAACCATTACATGGATAATGTAAAAGCCTTAAATTTAATTACCTTTTATACACATTTGCTAGATAGTTACAAAAGTGAACACATCTTTCATCATCTAGTCATTCGATCAACATATTCATTTGAGTTTTAAGGGGACGACCATTTGATTCTGAGGGGGGGGGGGGGGGGGGGGGGGGGGCTGGCAGATTTTAGAAATAAATAATCTGTCCTTGACAATGTTGAAAAATAATCTGTCCTCCACTGCAAAGAAAATAAATAATCTGACATTGACTGATGATATTCAAATACACTATTGTGAGAAATACCTTTTTTATTTCAGTGTAATTATTATTTAACCTCGCCATCTTCAATTCACCTATTTCTGTTGGCTCGCTTCGCTCGCCATTTTAGAACCAAATAGTATTAATAAAATGAGATAAAAAAAAAAAACCTTGTGCATGTAACACAATGGCCAAATGCATCAATCCGATTGGCAATCTTTTTACATAAATGTGAGAAGAAAGAAGATGAATGTATGACCATGATGACCACTACCACAAGCGTCATTGATAAGACAATACTTGCGGTACAGACTGGATACTAGTAGTCAGTTAACCTACACGACAATGTGCACTCAGTTGGTGTGATGAATCACTTAAATACAAGCCAATTCTTATGCACGGCAAAAAATAAATTTTTTTGTAAAAAAATTATACCTACACTGTAGCAATGTTAATATAGCCCAATTTTTTTTTTATATTTTTTAAGAATCGCTGGCGAATTGAAGGGGGACGTAGGGGGGGGGTGCATGCCCCCCCCCCTTAAAATTGTCAAAGTATGATAATAATGATATTAATAATGCCATACTTTTGTACAATACCACTATTTTTGTGCCTAGTTTTACTCTTAATATACACGAAAACCCAGGAGTTTCCGGGGGCTTTGCCCCCTGGACCCCCTTCAATCAAATAAATATGACATGACTAGCATTAATAATGTCATACTTTGGTACATAACTAACAAATACCACTACTTTTGTGCCTAGTTTTACTCTTAGAATACACAAAACACCAGACGGTAGCTTTCGGGGGCTTCGTCCCCTGGGCCCCCACAAAGGGCTTCGTCCTGGACCCACTAGGGGCCTTTTCGCGGTCCCAAGACCCCCTTGTCTATACGAAGTTATCCATCCCCCACCCCCCAATCACAAATCCTGCAAATCCTGTATCCGCCCATGATAATCACTTGAAGGTATCAATTTATCAAGGTACCTTAAGACAAAGAAGAAAATAAATAATCTGTCCTTGATACTCTTGAAAATAAATGATCTTCCCTTGACTGGCATGAAAATAAATAATCTGTCTCAACAAAATTTGCCACCCCCCCCCCCCTTCAGAATCAAATAGTCATCCCTTAAGAGGAACAATTTCTACAAATTTCAGATTTCAGCGATACAAACATTGAGATATTTCAGACAACTGCTTTTTTTATGGAGGAGTGGCAATGACTTGACGAATGACACAATACGTACACTCTCTTCTTTGTGAGCTATTCAACTCAGCTTGAATTCTTCTACAATTAAACACAATCTGGACAATTTACTGTTCTCTCACATTCTTCCAGGGACGTAGCAACAAGGGGGGGGGGGGGGGGGGCACGAAATAGGATTTTCGACTTTGATGAATATAATTTTCGATTTTTTTCACTTGTCAACTTTTTCAGGTACGTGAAAAAAAATTTCTCTGGTTGGCCCCCCTACTTTCAAAAAACGATGCTAAGTGCCTGTCTTCATACTTTGAAATGAAATATTATTGTAAATTTCAAGGGCAAAGGTATTTACATGTATCATAATTAATTGTCCCCCGCTTAAGGTCATACGCAACGTAGTTTGAACATTATTGGGTTCTTCCCTGGAGTTGAAGAGTTCCACTAAATGAAGGATCTGTGTGCAATGCTTTACATGTCTACCTACAAATTTATACACCTCTTCTAAAACAAATTTGATGGGAAAAAAAATCTGGAATTTATGTTTTGTAATTTTTGTATATTTTTCTTTGAATAAAGCAAAAATTTTCATAATTTGATATGTTCCCAAAAACCCTGGTAATGCATGTTGATTTTTTGCCTGTGAACATCTGATGTCAATATAATCTTTAATTAAGAATATCTTGAAAAGTTATCAGTAGATAAATTACGTTGCGAATGTCCTTAAAAAGTGGAGGATATTAATTTGGGTCTGTCTGTCTGTCCGTCTTTCTGTCTGTCTGTCTGTCTGTCTGTCTGTAACGCCTTTGTTTCCACACGATATCTCAAGAACCATTTTAACTTTTTACAATTAAATTTTACAGAACAGCTCCCTGTGGCCGAAGGAATTACCCTATTGATTTTGAAGTCAAACGTTCGAAGTTCATGGTTGTAAATTTATACATTTTGTTCGTGTGTAACACTATTCTTTTGGGCGATATTTCAAGAAGATTTTGAGCTTTTGCAAAACTCCCTAGGACCTCTCTCACCCTTCTCAAAGTCCCCCCCCCCGTTTGTTTTATTAGTATTTATTGTATTACATGTCGCTATTTTCAGCACAGGGGCATGAGGAGACTTATAACGTATAAAACAGGTTCTCGGCGGGTTTTATATTCTTATTATTAGAACTGTTTATTAAAAGTTAAATTAGACACCATGCATTGTATAAAATTATGACAATTATCGAATGTGAATATAAACATGTATGTGACTTCATCTTAGCATATAATTATCGCCAGGTAAAAGCGGTTCCAATGTGTAGTGATACGTTTCTCGCTTCCCATGTGAGAGGTCCCGGGTTCGAATCCCGGATGATCCATTTTTTCCGATTTTTTTTTTTACTAAATGATAGTTTTCAGCAAGTAAAATGAAAAATTTATGAGATATGGCTTGTACAAACTCATAAAATCATCATTACAGTGTGATAATTATTCCACATAAAAAGAATCTTCTATACACATAAAAAGAATAAGCAATCAAATCTTTATAAATATCCATATTGGCATATTTTATTTGCTTCAGTATACATGTATACTAATCCGAGATTTCCCGCTCAAGTCACAGGCGCGTAGCATCGTTTTTGAAAGGGGGGGGGGGCAGCCAGAGAAATTTTTTTTCCTTACCTGAAAAAGTTGACAAGCAACAAAAAAAAAGGAAAAAGTTTGCCCGAAGTCGAAAAAATCCTATTTCGGGGGGTGGGGGGGGGGGGAGGGGGGGGGGTAGGTAAACTTTTCCTCAGTCTCAACTACTTTCAGTACCAATTCTAATACTACATTTGCAGTTCATTGTTTAGAATCAGAGGAATCTCGGATTACATGTATACATTTGATAATTCTACAAATTCAGTCAAGGGGATCCGTCTCCCCACCCCCTTTAATACTACATTTGCAGTTCATCACTAAAAGTGAGGGGGCCAATCACGCTTTCAATTAACATTTCCTATAGTATAAGTAAGGTTGGGAAAAAAAGTGGGGGGGCCAGGGCCCCCCTGCCCCCCCCCCCCTGTTGCTACGCCCCTGAGTCATAATATAAAAGCGGGGTTTAGAGTCCGAGGAATCTCAGATTACATGTATACATTTGATAATTCTACAAATTCAGTCAAGGGGATCCGTCTCCCCAACCCCTCCCCTCGAACTGCGAATTGTTTACTTTTGCCCTAAGCGGAAGACACATAAATTCTCTGAATTAGCTTGTTTCAACTTTACAGTGTCCCAGGCTTGACAAAAAAGACTTAATACACTCTGAGAACTTCAAACATGCTATTTTTTTTATAGACGTTTTTCAGTGCTTCTGTCACAATCAACTACACGAGATATACCTCTGTTTCATGACACGGAACACTCAAAAAAAATATTACTTACTTTTACTCAAATCAAGTAAACGAATTACTTATTTTAAGTAATTTTTAAGTAAAAAAGTTTGTCACCATAGCAATCATGATAAGTAATTTACAATATTTATTAGTAATTTTAAGTAATATAATTTTATAATTATAGAAACAGTGACAAGTAAATAATTTACTTAAAATAAGTAAAAAAAAAATGAATTACTTAGTATTTGAAATACAAAGGTTTTTGTGTGTAATTTAGAAGTAGTCTTGAGTAGACATTTACATAATGTAAGTTAACAAATTACTAATCATCTAATTAATTAAATTGATACTCATCTGATTAGAGAGATAATGACATATTAATTTGATTGTCATGTCAAATTTAACAGAAGTATAATAATAAGGACTTCTCTCTAAGTCAACTCATTATATTCTACATTGGCGTAAGGATGTTGATTTCTTGTTTCGATTGCTTATATTTTCATTAATTATTTATAATAGCTTATCTAAAACATTTATACTAGGTTACTTTAAACGACGTAAATTGAGATATTTATATCTCTTAACGAATAAGTCATTTAATTGTAACAAAAATTTCAGAAGCAGAATTGTTTATAAACATTTGATTAATATTTTGTTTTATTAAAAAATATTTTCAAGGGCGATAATGGAAATCTAAGTAACTCTTTTTACTTAAAATTACTTATATTAATTTTTTGAATTAATTCTAATATACTTTAAGTAATTAATTTACTTACAATAAGGAATTTTAAGTAATTCGTGAATTACTTAGTAATCCTTAGTAATACTCAATCATAGTCAGTAATTAACAATTATTTTAAGTAATCATATTACTTAAAATAAGTAAAAAAAAATTACTAAGCAATTTTTTATTTTGAGTGAATCTAGGAAAATTTATAAAAATCACATCCTTGTGAATTTTTACTCATTTTGTTTGCATTAAATTGTAAGTTTTTCCATAGAAAGTTGACTGCTTTTATGTGTCATTATTAATTTCCCCATAGACATTTTCCAGTGCAATTATTTACCTTTAGCAAGGGGATAACTCTGACTAGGCAAATGCAACAAAATCTAAATATTAATATTAAAATTAAAGGCATTTAAATGAAAAAAAGATTTCTTTTCTATTAATAAACAATTTCTAAAAATGTAGTATGTCATGAAAATACCATTTAATCATTTATGTAACATTTTTAGCATGAAATGGCATGTTTTAATTTAAGATTAATATTGAAAAATTCACCCGTAATTGGAATTTTTTTTTCTGTGGTGCAGAGTTGTTTGCCAACGACAATTTTTTAATATGTTTTTCTTCTATATTGAATAAATTCAAAACAGTATAATTCAAATAAAAAAATCATCCTCGCTTCAAGATACGATTAACCAAACTTTGAAAAAAAAGCCTTGATTGCTAAAATCTAGATTCTTTGTATATTCCCTGATATAATGTGGCTAAATACAAAATATGTATGTAAATTTTTTTTTATGAATATAATTAACTACTATTGCACTTTCATTACATATGCAACATTGAAATAAAATTTATAGCAAATATGTTTAAAAGACGCACTTAAAATGCATCATTTTCAGTGAATGTCAATGCTCGTTTGACACTTTTTTATAGTAAAACAAATAATCCCCGTTACTAAAAATAGAAACAACTTACGACAAAATGTAAATCATATTTTAGGTCATTTGGACCAAATCTTTATTTGTATGGGTCACTTCTAAATTTACTACGATAATGCATCTGGACAATTTTTTTCAATTTGCATGGTTTTCTCTGAGACAGGCACTTAAGATAATGAACTATGAGACCACGAATTCTAATAAATACAGCATGTTTTTCCAATGAACTAATGCTATGACGAATGGTATTCTAACCAAGCAGACTATACACTTTGTGCCTAGCAACAAATATCAATACAGACTGTAAGTATGCATAAGAAATGGTAACATTTACCCAGTTGAAAATGGCAGATGTATCCCTTAACCTATATTTAAATAACAATTAGCCATTAAATACATATTGATAGTCTCAACCCATGATGAACTAAAATAAAATTCTAATTTTGGCTTTAATCTGTGTAAGTAAACAAATACTGAGTAGTAGGTCCATTGGTAAACCTATTATATTAGTTAAGACTTGTTGCACCAAACTTAAATTGTTAAAATTATAGTAATCTAAGAAACTCTGAGTTTATATAGCATATTCAAGTAATATAGTGCTGTGAATGTTGTCATGGTTCTCTACTGCTATATTAAATGGATTTGCATGAAGCAATACATTAATTGCCACATGCCTATAAATAGAACATGATTACCAAATGGAGCGAGAAGCTCGCAAGACGGCCCTCTTTACGCTTTGAAGGTATTTCCTCATCTGGCTGCTGTCGATGCGGGAACACCTGATGTGTACGCCATCTGTACTTAGGAATGATAAGTCCTTCCAGAAACCATGGTGATGGTGAAAGGTGATATTGTCGAGGGAGGATGCCCAGTTCTGTAGACGGCAATTAGCTTCGACGACCCGGGAGTTGTAATCGCCCCTCCTGTTGCGCCGCAGAATTTGGCCGATAACGACATGCCGCACTCCACATCCCAGAACCAAGTAATTTACATAACTCTGGATTTTCCTCACCAGGGTGTCTGCAGCTAGATGGGTATTATCTAGGTCATTTCCTCCAATCTGTAGACAAGTTGCTGTCCTTTAAAAAGGGACTGCAAATACGTGGACCATATGCGTGTTTTTTCTAACTGAAATTCAATTAGGAAAATTTCTAGGTGTAGGGAATATTCATGTTAGGTTTGTTCACTTATTCTAAAATTATCTGCCATTTATAACTGATCGTAGTCTCAAAGCACAAATGTGAAATTTTATCTCCGATTAGCGATCTTTAGTTTTGTCAGTTTTAACATGTTTAAAATATCGGGTTATTTTGACACGTGTAACACATATTGACTGGGACTTGACACCTGTTCTGGATTTATACGGAAGAAATTTATCATGGGAAAAATAGAGATCTGATGGTTTACGTGTAGCACACCTCTGTACAACGCAGATTTGTTTTTAATTTGTCGGAGCCCCACCCCAACACACACACATTAAAAGCCCTTGCTACAGACCTTTATCAAATAATAATTAGATTGCTGAAATATTAAATTATTTTACGAGTCGTGATGCACAAACTTAATGCCGGTGAAAACTTGCTCTACTTTAAAAGCTACATGTATCTCTGTTCGCTAAATGACGTTTCTCATTCAAGTTGTTAAGTTACATGTATCTATATACTGTAACTTCTTAAAATGTTTGTACCATAGAATCAATGTTTAGTATAAAAGTATATGTAAAAGAGAGGAAATCGGATCTGCCAATGAAAATGTAAATGCGATATGCAGATTTAAAAGCGCGATTTGCCAATGAATGGCATATTTTAATTCGAATAGGGCGAACTATTCTACGGGCAAGTTACCTAAGGTGCGAACTCTCTAGCATTCGCGCGCATGCGTAGCCTGTCGTTTGCCCAGGGCATCCGGTTTAACTTCGCTTATATATTTACTGCGTGGACCGCAGGGTCCACGCAAAAAACTATCTGGGGAGGCGGATCAAATGTCGTAAATTTGGGTCCGTGAGCCATGCGATCGACAGTCAAACCCCCATCACTAAGAAACTGTACATCAAATAAATGTCTATAAAGTCTCAAATTGTCATTCTCAGTGTTACGGGCAATAAAATCCTGCAACCGCCGAATAAAGGAATGTCCTATAATCACTACGCGAATAGGTGCCATTAGAGTTTTCTACTTTCGTTTTCACCGCACCGACAACAACACAGGAGATGTCCACAAAAAAATAAATCGTCAAATAATATTACCTCTCACAGGAATTTTAAATTCTCGATTAATCCAAAAAATATTTCAGCAAATGTTTGGCCGTCTTGTCTTTACAATAGCAGTAGATATAATGATGCTAGTTCTCTTATCTCAAAAGGATAAAATTACCGGGGGGTCCCCATGGGTTTACAGATGATGAGGCACAATGCGGGGAATTACAATTGAACATAAAATACATGAAACTTAACTTAAAACAATTTTACTAGCATAAAATATCATAAATATATATAATATGAAATTAATGAAAATTATAGTTTCATGTATTTTATGAATGTTTGTCATCTTTACGGTCAACCCTAGTATATACATGTATATAATCCGATATAAACCCAGAATTTTAATTTCATTATTTTTTCCTTTTTATTATTTCTTTCCGTTTCATTTCTCACAAAAAACAGGTCGGAGAGAATACTCGAAATCGGGTATTATCCGTGAAATCGCGTATAATACTCGATATTAGGATATCGTTGAATCCGCGAAATCGGGTATAGGAGATGTAATCACCTAATAAAACTTAAACAATTGGATGGCGCATGTTGCCGAGTTAACTTTCATCTAGATACACATGTTTTCTAAAGGTATCACTAGCCAAGTAAGAATCTGGGCGTCAAGATTAATGCGCTCGGGACAACAAATACTAATGGAGCTCAGTACATTTCATGATCTGCACACAAAAAGGCGTTCGATTTGCTTTATATTTTTCCTTATGTTGAAACTATATGCATCTTCCTAATGTTCATTCCCAACACAACAGAATTGTAAAGTATCAGAATTCGGGAATTTATAATAATTCCACATCAACCTCGACAAACATGAACAATTTGTAAAAAAAATCAAATTATACGGAAACACATTTCACACACCAAATATGATGCCATGTATAAACATTGTCTATCGTATCTAATTATGAGTCATTAATTACTTTCACATTCATCTTGTGCATAAACTCAAATTTATTTATGAATGTATAAATAATGTAATGATAACTAGAGCCGAGCTCGTTGCAAAGCAACGAGTAGGTCTTCCGTTGGAGCTGTGGACAGGAAGTGCCGACCTTTGGTCAAGGTCACTTTACTTTTTTTTTTATAAGAACAACTTCTAAACTCGGGATAAGCCTCTTGTTAAGTTATGCTTGAACATTTTTTCTCTCTGTCAGTGACCTTGATTTGCCTTCATCAAGGTCATGACACAACTTCTATTTATAAATTATCTATGTTTCAAGTACGGCCACCAATGATTTTTATTTATTAATTCGTAGCGTGGAAAAGAAAATATTTTTTCTGTCAGTGACCCTGATCTCTACGAAATAACCTTGGATCTGTGTCAAGACAAAACCTCAATCTCAAACAACTTTTAGTAATTAGAAATTCATAAGCCTGACAGGAATTTTACAACTTTTTCTGTCAGTGACACTGAATTTAAAAAAATAGCATTATATTTAGTTATTTGAAACCGGAGGACCATAAGCAATCTGTATGAAGTCTGAACTTAAAAAAGAAAAGGCTAGATTGAATTTATACTATTTTCGGAGTCAAATGATACAAAACCTTTTTGTCACAAAAAATCTCTGTATCAAGTATGAGCTTCCAGATATTCTCGATTACATATACAAATGACTCGTACAAAACATTAACTCTTTCTATAGTGACCTTGAATTTGCCATAATATTCCCTTGAACCAATGCCATGACACACCTTAGAATCATTCGAAATCTTTGTATCGAGTAGTATGAGCTCCAAGATTCTCCATAAATTTAAAGCATGCCTTCTGGGAAAACCTTGAGAGGCAGAAGGACGGCTAGACAGTGAAACAGAAAATGTTATTCCTAACCCATCCACCCCCACCCCACCCCCCAAAATACACAATCACTTTGTTTGCGGGGGTACAACTTCCTATGTTTAATTTTGAATACCTATTCCAGTCATGATTTGAAAAACAGTAATCTTTATTACATGTATTTCAGGAAGCTTTCATAAGTATGGTTTCTCATTCTTGCCCAGAAATTCGAGAAAAAAGAAATTTTCAAAGACCCCTTCCTATTTTTGCTAATCGTTTTTCTACATTATCTTCATTTTATACCCCCCCAAAGGTCGCTCATCATGTTAAAAAACACGTTGCCTAACCAAAACCACATCGGTTTATACACGCCGTTCAATTTATTTACATATTTTTCCGTGAAGGAGGACGCGCAGGGATTAAAGATTAAAGAAAAATTCCGGATGCTCAACAGCACCATGCATGGACTTTATTTTAGTACTACATATTGTGCTTGAAGTTGAATAAAATCTATAAATATATTTAATTAAAATAGGAAATGGAGATAACGTTTAATAGAATAATTTTGACAATATATTTGATACAAGAACCATCTGATAAATACATGTATGTATATGAGCAAGGCGAGTCTCTCTCTCTCTTATTCATGTATTTTTTAACCAAGAAAAATTAATGTGCGTAAGATACAAGTTCATTATTTTAAAGAAAATACTCAATATTACATGTACATGATGTATATACGGTAAACGATACAAATGGTTTGACTATGCTGCCGGTTATGATTTTAACAATTAAAATTAAGTCGTAAAAATATAGTAATTACATGTACTAATGATTTTGTAATAGTCAGTAGTTACAGATTGTTATAAAAGTTCTTAAATTTTCAGTTCTGAAAATACGATGCAGGTTTATTACTTCTTACATGTATAACCTGCTACCAATATTTAATCACGGAACAAATGGAAATTAAATGCTATACATAAAAAAATTACGAGTTTTGAATAATGGTAATTATAAAAACAAATGATGTTGGCAAGTATGGTCCTAATACTCTTTTACCGGGGTACTGACTGGTGACTTCACATTAAAACATGTTTTTAAGCTGTTCAGTTTGACCATATGAGATGAATGCTTTTATTTCATAAATGCTGAAATCGGGGTATTTCATCCAAACCTATAATATAAATAGGCATTGCAGAGCACATTAGTCGCTTTTGAAGTTCAGACGTGCAAGAGTTACATGTACCTATCGATGTTTAATCCATTTCACTGACTATTATTCTATCCATATGATTCGAAAGTTTCTTTTAAAAGTTTAAAGATGGTATAACCATGGAAATAATCTGTGATGGGGAAAGAATGTGTATGAGAAAAATTGTGTTGAAAACGGATTTATTAAATCAATAATGGTTAAAGTATTTAGTCACTGCAGATCGGTAGTTCTTACGCAATGTATCATTAAAATGAAAATAAAATTACATATGGAGCTAACGAACATGTAAAAAAAAAGAGACTGATTAATATAAATGCCCCAGCGTTTTGTACTAAAAATAAATTTTAAGGCATTTTAAGATGGCGGTATTATATAGAACACCCAAGTCTTGTACTGTGAAATAAAATCGTTCGTTCATCGAAGTGAATTTGAATGGGAAAAAGTCTCATAATATTTATCATAATTCACAATATAATTTTCCGATCTTTTACGTGTAATTGACTTGCATGGACGATGAATGAAAACCCCGTAATATTGCATTGGTATGCTGATCGTTTAAACACACATTATTGCGATCTACTCGATGATTTTTTTCCCATGAATTTGAAACTTCATCCCCACTTACAATTATCATGCATGTGTACGCGTAGTTTAAGATCCATAAAACAATTACCACCTCGATAAAAACAGAAAAATAAATTGTTGCATTTGTTGCAAACCCAGCTATTGTTTATTCGGCTATTACAAGGCATTAAACTTGAAATGATTAAAAACACAAGCGATTACGACTGATTAAAACGAGCGTAAGATAGAGTGAAATTGAATGAAATGAAAGAGTTGACATGATTTTAAACCCATTTTTTCCATTTATGACTATCAGAGTACACAACGTATTTTAACATCGAATGCCCGCGGCTCTCTTTCGCAACGTGCATGTAAACGAGGACTGGGCTACTACACTTTAGACACAACGTGACAGAGCTGGATGATACTGTTTGCTATATTACAAAGATGTGAATTATAGTATATTTGAAAGCAATATTATTTATACATTTATTAATGTTATTTAATATTATAAAAAAAATAATAAACGGAGATTCAAAAGAATGATGGTAAAAATAATATGTACGCAGCATGCGTACTACGTACCTATCACAAGATTTCCGTCACTAATTACAATTATTTGTCAAAGCCCCTTTTCAAGAATTAATTAAATACAATAACACGGGATAGAGAAATGTTGTTTTTTTTTTTTTAATTTTAATTGTATTGATGTGTGAACAGGCCAAAGAAAGCAATTGAAATTCGAAATGATTTTACGCAACCAGTGTTTGGAATAAGATTATATAAAGATCGGTAAAGTAATCTTATTGATTTGATATAATTAAAAACATAATTTCCCATTAGTTAATAGTTCTTTGTACAAGATAGATGTTAAACGCGATCACAGATACTTGCTTTGTTTATAACACAGGTGGCTAGTATATACACTGGTGACCGATCAGCAGCGTGGGATTCGTGTGTTACGTTACATAACTAAAAACATTGAGCTGAACATGGAGATTGTAATATACAGCTAATGATGTCAATTATTCAATGCATACAGTTTAAAATTAATTGTACATAGTTTGTTGTAATAAGAAATTTAGAAAGATATATTTAATATTCTCCGATTTTGAACACTATTAAACTAACAAAAAAAGAAGAAAAGAAAGTTACGCTAGTTGTAATAAATCATTTAGTAGTGAACCATAAAGCACGTGCGTTTAAAACCTTATTTAAAAGAAAATTAACATTAAATACTGTGGGTTAAACATGATGGCAAGTCTGTTAAAGTTATTCACATAAAGAGGTCTGATTTCCTTTCCGAACGAAAAACGCTACCTGTTACCTGGCCTGCTTTCTACTA